AAAAAATAATAATTTAGGAGCTTAAATAAATAAATAAAAATTAGCTTGAAAAGAAAGAAAAATTTGAAAGTTGCTGAATACTTTGCTAAGGAAAAGGCTACCTATTGAGATTTGATCGAAAGCTCCCATTAGACTATGAATTGAAGCTAAAAACGGAGATAAGTTGAGTTGGGGAATTGCTGACTACTCTTTAGAGTGAAAGCCACCTTGCTTAGAAAAATTGCTCAAAACAATGTTATCTTAATGCTTTTCGATCAATAAGGTTTAGACAATGATCTGTTGAAATTTAGCTGAAGATGGATTGGATTGAGTTTCACACACACACATAAACTTGGTCGATTAATTTCTAAATCTTTCACTAAAATTTGCAAGTTTGATTTCATATTGTGATTATTTTCTGAGATTTGAAATTATTTGAAAAGTCTATGGAGTCAAATATTTATTATTTTTAAAATTCTCTGAAAGGGTTTTGAATCGTGTATTGACCGGATAATTTTAATAATTGGTGATTTGTTGTTTTAATTTAAAAAAATAAAAATAAAAATTGAAAGGTTTGAAAAATTCAAAAAGATTTTGATTTTTAGGTTTTTAGATTTTTTTTTTGTTGATTTTTTAATCACCGATGTGTTAAAATATTTTCTACAAAAATTGGAAAAAGTTTTTTTCTTTTTCAAATTTTAGCACTGTGTTCAAGACTGCCCTTGTTGAATCGGTTCAATGGGGCTGAACCAGTTCAAGGCTGTAAGCCAAAAAGGGACTGCCCTTCTTGAACCTGTTCAGGCCTCCTGAACCGGTTTAAGGCCGCGGGCTTGGGGTATTTTATTTGCTTGTTGCTCATTTGTTTTGCAACTCTCTCTTTAAATGCTCCATTGATTTCTCCTTTTCATATCTTAGTCACACACACACACACACACCATCTATATCATATTTTTGTCATTCATTCATGGAATATACTTAATCATTACATGATAAACATAAGATTGAAGACAAGAATTGAAGATTGTGGATTGAAGAGATTGAAGCTTCTAAAGAGAAATTGGGGTAGTAATCTACATTGTTGTTGATTTTTGGGAGGATTGAAGATCGAAACAAAGTTTTTTATAAACATTTTTGGGGTTGCACACCAAGTGTTTGATAGAATTCCCAAGAGAGTTTACAAGCTTCAAAGTGAAAATTTTGTGAAGAACAAGGCTCCAAAATTGTCTAAGGAAGCTAAAGGCAAAGGTGTTGCATAACCTAGGCCTCCTAAGAGACCTTGAACTAGCATAACCATTCAAGAACCTCAAGGTGGTTCACATGCTTCAAGAAACACTTCAATCAATTATCCGTCTGTTTCTAGCACCGGCATAATTGAATTTGAAGAGTCACACTTCTATAATGACAATGCATGGCAAACTTACCTTTTGTGTACAAGGATGGTCCTATAAAGTCAAAAAGGAATGTTAATCTCCAAAAACTTCAAGACATAGCTGGACAAAAATTGGTCGATTACATTAAGTCTTATAAGTGGTTCTTCTCCATAAAGCTTGGAAAGAGTACTTACTGTCCGAATATGGTTCGCTACTTCTATGCGAATATTCAAGATACCAAAGATTCATACTTTAATGTATCTCTTTTTGGGAAAGATTACATGGTGGATGAAAATGATATTGAAGCTATCTTGAATTTTTCAGACAGTTGATAGGACAGACTTTGCCTTTGACAATCACGGGTCCAAATTTTTCCCAGATTGTTTCAAAGATTTGTGTTTCGAATTCTTCTATGAATCAAGATAGTATTCCGGCTAGATTTATGATAGATGAGGCGGTGTTCTTTAATTTGTTTGCCATGGCTAATCTTGGCTATTTTGGAAAGAAAGATGAGATAAATCTTGAGCGAGCACAAGTTCTCTATTTTCTTGCTATTAATGAGACTATTCAGCTTGCACCATTAATTGTGCAGCTAATGATATCTCATTACAAGAAGAACTCGCGTAAGTATTCTTCTCATTTTCCTATGATAATCATGGAAATTTGCAAGTTAAAGAATATTCAGATTCCTCCAAGAGCGTATCATCAGCCTATCATGACTGAGTTAGATCCTCGTGCTCTGAATAAGTCTAAAACTACAAGAAAGGCTCGGAAAGGTATAGATGAGGGTTCGTCACAAGCTCTAGAAGTTACTCAACTATTTCCTCAAAAGGAAATTTCACAAGAGCAGATGCAAACATCATGTATTCTTATCTTCTGCAGCATCAAACTTCTTTGTTTGAGAGAATGATGGTTGAGGTTAGAGATCTCAAACTTCAAATGAATCAGATGAAAGGATAGCAGCAAGGGGTTCCAGATGAGGATGTTTACAGGCCTGCATCTCCAGATCCATCTATGAGAGCTGAGGATGAAAATGAAAATGATGATCTGGATGACTATTCAAATGGGGATGAGGATGAGGAAGATAGTGAGAAGACTGAAGATGTTTTTCTGACATAGCGGTTAAGAAGATAATGATGCTGACTTTTGCGTTGATTTATCATGCATCATGACATTATACTCTTGTTAACATGGTCATTATTTTTGGATATTTTCGTATATGCTTTAATGACATGTTTGGATGTTCTATCTGATTCTCTTATTTGTCTCTATTTCAAAGTCTCTATGTTTTGTCAATTTGTTACAAAAAAGGGCTGAGAGAACAAATGTGATGTTAAAGGGGAGATAATTTTTTTTTGGATATTTACTTAAGGGGGAGTTTTTATAAATTTTTATTTATTAAACTTCACTGGTAGTTATTATGTGATATTGTGCAGGAAATCAGGTCAAGCCGTATATCCAAGAAGAGATGAGAACAATGATCATATTCCATGTTTTTGTCTATAAACAAAATAATAATTTACTTTTCTGCTTTGGGTAGATTATTCAAATTGTTTTTAGGGTTTTGTCACGAAATTGTCAAAGGGGGAGATTGTGAGATATTATTTTGTAATTGGCAATTATCGAAAACAAAACAAGTCATTGTCGAGTTATAATTCAAAGTTACTATATCGGGATCAACAGCGATTGCGGAATAGAAATGTTGTTCAAAGTTACCATAAGTGAGATCATTTGAAATAAGGTAAGAACAACACATTAGGAAGGATTCTAAATAGCATAGGACACATTCTACACTTTCCATAGTTTTCAAAAACTTACTGTAGAATATTTTTGGGCTTAAAAGAACCAAGTTTCAAGTTCTAACCAACTTGAACCGGTTCAGCCTCTTTGAACCGGTTCAAGGCTTCAAGATTGGATTGGAAAACCAATCTGCCAAACTTGAACCGGTTCAGCCCATATGAACCAGTTCAAGTAGTCCTCATCAGATTCCAACTTTTAGTTTCCTGTTTGAGAATTGTTTCCTAGTTGGTCTAGAATTGTACCAAGTCCTATGCACAAATTTTTCCATATTTTCAGAGGGACTATGACATTCTAAATTATATATAAACCTTGTCATACACATAGGTTTATTCATGGCTTTTGCATTATCAGTTTATTATTTTTAAAAGCCTTAGGAAGATTTTTGTCTCATAAAATCTTAGAGATTTTTCTGTTTGTCTTTCTAGAACACACACATAGTCACGTAGTGATTTTAGAATTATGTTGTTCGAATCCTGATCGTGATCATACAGTTTCATCTACATTGATCAGACAAAAGTAAATCTACTTTTACATCAAATCCAGAAGTTGAAGAATAGAAGTAAAAGCGATCACACTTTGAAAGGGTTGGAGTATTAGAGGAGTGTTGTCTGATCTACCTGCTACTCTTCTATAAAGATCAAGCATAAGTCTGAAGTCAAGTTGTTGTTGGACAGAGAGTCACAAAGCCAGAGGATTGTCAGTAATTAGTGTTTGGTAAAACGATAGGGTGTGAGCCAGAGTCAAAGTTCAATGTACTTTGGTTCAAGTATAGTTGATCAGTTTATTTTGGACTGCACAGTCCACGAGGTTTTTCCCACACAAACAGTTAACGTATTTTATCAACTGAGTTTCTTCGCTAAAAATCCTGGTGTCATCTCTAACTTTTACTTTGCTTTATTTTATGTGCATGTGATTAATTGTTTAATTAAAATAAAGTAAGTTAGAAAAACACAAGATTTGTTTTCAAAAATAATCAAAACTTTCTAAATATTCCGCTGCGTACAACTCACAGTAACATTCTCGTTGAAGTTGCAAAAAACAAACATCAAGTTATTTCTAAAGAGAGGATAAAACCCTCATCGATCTCCATCACCCCATCACCTTAGAAACCTCAAGCTTTCATTCTTAGACCAAATTGCACTACAAGTTTATGTTCCTTTCATTTTCTTCTATCAACCTGATTAGATGTGCATGGTATTGGTCGTGCCCAAAACTCTCACTCACTGAAACAATCTTTATCGAAAACCCTAACTCGATTTTACCCCTTAGCAAGAATGATAAAAAATGATGGTACCATTGATTGTAATGATGCTGGAGCTGAGTATGTTGAAGCTCAAGTCCATTATCATCTTTCACAGGTTATAGAAAAGCCTGAAATTGAAGAGCTAAACCAATACTTTACTATTAATCGATCCTCATGGTACTAGGACTGAAATGGCTAAGGAAGCACTCCTAGCTATCCAAATCGATTAATTTCTTTGATTATGGTGCGGTGGCTATTGGTGTGTGTATTTCGCACAGCATAGTCGATGGATTGTCTTTAGTCATGCACATTCATCACTGCATGTCGTGGCTCGTGGTGCTAGCAAAATTGTGCACGGTACCTTAATTTCGATTTGGCATGTCATTTCCTACCTAGGGACTTGCTAGGGTGTATGCCAACACGAAAGAAAAGATCATGACAAGAAGGTTTGTATTCGATAAGAAAGTTAGTAAAACTCAAACAGGTTGTGTCCTCAGCATTTGGATCACAAGTGAAAGATCCCACTCATGTCGAAGCTGTCTCCTGCCTCAGCTTTCATCTAGAGGCAATTCATGGAGGTGTCCAAAATTAAGCTAGATACAAAAAAGATGTGTGCGGTCCATACTATAAACTTGAGAGCTCGGATGTGGCCACCCCTCCTCGACCACACCTTTGGAAATGTCTGGACTTTCGTGAGTGCATTATTGACATCCGAGGGTAAGGAGGAGTACCATGACCTAGTGAGCCTACTAAGAGGTGCAATAAGAAAAATTGACATTGATCATGTGAAGAAACTACAAAATGGAGATTGGTACTTGGAGGATCTCAAAAGGGCAAATGAACATTTTTACAAGGGTTATTTAGAGTTTTGTAGTTTCAGTAGTTGGTGTAGATTTCTTATGTATGGGGTTGACTATGGTTGGGGTAAACCAGTTTGGGTATGCACAGCAACTACGCCTTTCAAGAATGTGGTAATTTTGACGAGTAGTAGTTGTGGGGAGGGAATAGAGGCATGGGTGAACATGGACATGGCCATTCTTGAACATGATCATAAACTCCTTTCTCTTGGTACCAATGAAGTGCATGGATGCTCAAAAACTTGACGGTGACACTAGAGGAGAAACAGTACTTTAGTCCAATGACCTGACATCTTATTCACATATAAGTGGGCATTTCACTTCTTCAGTAGCTAATAGAATAAATGTGCGTGTTGGTGTGTGTAATTTAACCTAAATCACGTATTGGCATGCATGTTCACTTCTCATTATCCATTTATTTTCTTATACTTTTATGAATTTTTCTGACCATAAATGCTTATCTCTTGTGTATGGTTGTGACTTCTGCTAACAGTGCCTATTAAGCAGCCATAGTAGGGGTTCATTTCTTCTGTTGATTTTTAAGTAACCTGAATTTGGGTAGAATGGGAACTTTCGTTTCTTTTGAATGTTTTCCATATTCTTTCCTATAATGTGTTTACAAAAAACGGGAAAAGAGAAGGCCAAGTCTTAGCCCATAATGTATGTACGAAAACAAACCCGGTGACAAGCCCACCCAAGAAGAGAGGAATAAGAGCCCATAATATCTCCCTGTCATGCTACTAAAATCAAATGCAAAAATATGTTTTTAACTGTTCAATAACTGTTTTAATTCTTGAGCATAATTGATAACCAACGTCTGGGTGGTGTAGTTGGTTATCACGCTAGTCTCACACACTAGAGGTCCCCGGTTCGAACCCGGGCTCAGACAAAAATTTTTAATTCTTAAAACCTTTCAATTTTTATTTTTTGGCATATATAGCATACTTTTGTTTTATTCATTGTCCTCGCTAGATTGGCCTATACAATATTTATTTATTTTTCTTATTAATTGACAGATTAATTAAAATTATGATCATATCAATGAAGATTTTGAAAGCTTTCTTAGATTAGAGTGAAATTGATAATCAAGTTCATTCGCGAAATAAATAAATATGTACGGATTAATTAACAAGAAAAAGAAATGTTAGCTAAATTTTGGATGAGGTAGTGGTTGAAAATGGTCACGCAACGCGTGCACGACTGCTTTTTGAATTATTCTTAAAAAGAATTTGGGAATCTACAATGAGAGTTTCAGAGAGAGAATATGAATGCATGTCCAGAAAATACTACTTTTAGACACCTTAATTTAGCACTTAATAGAATAATTTTTTTTAAAAAGTGCAAAGTTGACCCACGGATTGATTCTATTGCTCAACAATTTTGCATAGGTGCTCTCAATACTTTCAAATAGAAATGAATGCGGGTGGAACTTGGATGTCCTCCCGTGTGAGAACCAAGAGCCCTCTTGTGCATCAAAACAGTGTTATTTTGAACAATAAGAATTGCAGATCGCACGAAACTGTAACACAGGTTTATTGGAAATAAAAATAATCAATCAAGAAGAAAACAATCACACAAGGCAATCACACATGAATTTGCGAAATATCAACGTAAACCAAGCTTGTAATTCATTTTTCACATCCTCATTAGAGTTTTGAGTCGGACTCCATGTATTTACATTCCAAGGGTACCATTCGAAGGGGGTGATAGAAATCCTCATTTTAGTGATCCAGCTGTGGAAGCTTTTACTGGAGGAGATGCTGCTGATAATATAGCTTATTCTTTTTTATTTTCTTCTTACAAAATATGAATTTTTTTTATTTTTTTTATTTGGGATATTACAGAAACATGGAGATTCGGAGGTTAAATTACAAAGCTATGAAGTCAGTCTATATTTTTCATAGATCTGATTTTTTCTTAAAGTCTGATCATAGAAGCACGTTATTCATATGCTCAAACTACACTTAATATTTTCAAGTACCACTTATGCATATGTATGTATCATTCTTGTGCACAAAAGTACCAATCTTATGCACGGAGGTACCATTGTTATGTAAACTAAGTCATCAAAATAACCTGCACAAAAACTGATATTTTGTGCACTAGAGTAATACCTACCAGCACATACGTAGTATCTTTGTGCATAAGAATGATACTTGTATAAAAATGATACTTCTAATCACATAGTGACATTAACATATTATAACGTACATGCATAAGAGTGATACATATTTTTATGTACAAAAGTAATACCTAAAAATACTATAGAATAAATAATATTTTTTCATGTTTACCTTAAAAAAATTGATGACAATAAAAGGCGTTGACTTGTTGACTTTTGACTTCGTGACCGTAAATTAACCTTCAAAACTCCATGATTTCATATTTATCCCTTTTTAATTTTTATAAGAAATAATTAATTTATCCTTCCTTACACTTTAGGGTCCGTTTGACATGCGTTTTGTTTTTATTATTTTTGTTTTTGAACCGTTGCAAGTCGATTTTGGTAATAAAAACATATTTTGTGCGGTCTTGTTTTATTTTATACAGTACTAAAATACTTCGTGAATAGTGATCCAAAACCAAAACACCAAAAAAATATATTTTTTTTTGTTTTGACAATGTTCATGTCCCAAAACTATAATTGTTTGTATTTTTATTTTGTTTTGACAATATTCATGTCCCAAAATCATAATTGTTTGTATTTTTATTTCCGACATTTTCTCAGCAAATTATCGTTTCAAAAGTACCACTCTTGCAACAAAAATACTATTTTTATTTTAGTCAAAAACAAAACGCCAAAAATAATGCAATTACCAAACCGCCCTTTAACTAAATTCGCTCCGCTCACCATTTCTCTCGATAATCCCACCACAACCCTCTGGCACAGCTCACAACTCTTGTCACGAATCTCTAAAATTGAACGTAGCGCTGCAGGTGGAAATGGTTGTATCACCATCTCTCTCTAGACTAGAAGTGATTCTCCATCTCTCTCTCTCCCTTGTAAATACACAAAATCACATACTTTTCATTCTTTACTACGTGAGATGCACCTTTGATTATATTTAACATGATTATATAAATATGATCATATGTTTTGAAGTCTGATATTTTTTTGGTACATTTATATAGATTCATATATGATCATATGTAGATTCTATTTTTATTTTCTTTTGTCTTGTTTTGAAGGGTGAGATTTTTCGGGACCAAGGCGACAACCGCGACAGAGATTGGAATTCATATATGCATTTGTATAAAAAACTGAGGTACGTTAATGGGTCGACTCAGAATTATCACCGAGTTGACTCATGGTAATTGTATCGTGGAGTTTTAGCTATAATGTAAGGTCTGATTTTCATCAATTTAGCTCTGGTTTGTGAAAAATGGTGCAATGTTCTTTTTGGGTATGAATCAGTTAATCATGAACTTGGATTTCATTGAGAAATTATTCAATTTTATTTTATTTTATTTTTTTGTTCTCCTTTTCACATAGGAGTAGGAATTATTCTGTACTCACAAAGACTTCTAATAATAATAATAATAAGCAAAAATTAATGGCACAGATTTAAGAAACGAGGTTATAAAGTTAAAGATAAAAGATTTTGATAACTTCAATTTTATATTAGACGAGGCATTGCATGAAAGTAATGTTGAAAACATTAGGCTGAAGAATAAAATTGAAATAAAGCTTTTTGATAAAATTGAAAACATTAGGCATGAAAGTAGTGCTGAAGCATATAGTCATTGCCATCTTCAATGAGCCATAAAAATTAATTATTCGGAAGTGTTAGATATACGATATTTTGCTTCACAATAGAAGAACAAGATATATCGTCTAACCACAAATACTTGGCTGCCTTTATGGTGTCATTTGAGGTCCTGAACTCACATCAATTGTGCCACGTTTGCACCTATATAATGTGTCTAAACTGAGCTCCAACGGGTTGGCGAAACGAACTAAAATGTCACCAACCAGTTGGTGACATTCTGCTCTATCGCCAACCAGTTGCTGATCTACAAAGAAAATTTCAACCAGTTGGCAAAATCTTGTGACGAAAAATGGTACATTTGTGAAAAATAGTGGTGTGTTAATGCAAAAAAAGTAGTACATGAGTGCAGAAAAGTGGTACATCGGGATAAAATACTTAGGCAACTTATTTTTTTTCACAACTAGACTTTGCAATCAGATATTTGATCACACATTTGTCACCCACTAAATGTAATGAACGAACATTTCGCCAACTGGTTGGCAACATTGTGATTGTTCTTATTTTCCATTTGATTGTGAAGGCGTTCAAAGTTCGATATCTTGATTATGAGGTGATGAATGCTAGGTGTCTTGCTTATAATTAAGGCATCTAACTTTTGACACCTCACTGTCAAGGAATCTAACTTTAAAAAATCCCTCTCTGAACTGTTCAAAGTTCGATATCTTGATTGTGAGGCGATGAATGTTAGGCGTCTTTCTTATAATTAAGGCATCTAACTTTCAACACCTCATGGTCAAGGAATCTAACTTTAAAAAATCCCTCTTTAAACTTGTCTGGGTTTTAAGAATACAATTGTTTTGATGGATATACCATAGAGAGATGGAACTGAACCCTGGGTGACATAGGTTGAGCAAGACATGCCCTTTTTTTTTAGCGTGATCGCGAATTTCTCAGATATGTCTCCTCTCAATCATGAGTGGCAGTTTTTTCTGTTAGAGCTCTAATATTTTTCTGTTAGATACGCTAATCTCTTGTAAAATATTTAGGTATTTGAGTCAAAATTGTAGGACTGACATCCGTTAGGCAAGTGGGATTTACATTTTATTGATACAGGGAAGGTTATGTCTGTTGTATTGTGGTCCATTCTTATCTTTCAAACAAAAGAATTAAAAGGAAAGTGTACAAAATAATAAAACTAAAAAATACATTTTAATAATTATAGGCACTACCTAGGAACAAACTTGGAAAAGTGCACTAGCTTAAAATATGTAGGACATGGGAGATGCAGACATTGTTTATTAATTCCTCTCTTCAGGATTTTTTAGTAGATGCTCTATGTACTTGCAAATAAAACTGAATGTGAGTGATGCCAAAATGTCCTTAAATATATATAAATATGCCTACCAAAGGTTGTGTAGCCTAGTGGCATTGACTCTACCTCCCAAACTGGAAGGTGAGGGTTCAAATCCCCGTAGAGACAAATGGATGTGTGAGTTTCTTGTCAATGAAAGATATATGTATAGATATATATAAATTTGCATAGCTACACTTGTAATACTGAACATGTAGATTTTTCAACAACAATGTCATGCCCAAAGAGTTGATAAAAGAAAAATGCTTGTTGTGCTCTTAGTTTCACAACTGAATCTTCTACTTTAACAATCTTTTTGTTTTTCTTGTGCTGGACATTAATCCTGGTGTTCTCTTGATAATTTCCATCCTCTACCAAATTGAATGTGGCAATGTTAGAACTTTTAGCTCTCCGGCCTAGATCAGCTCTCTCTAGATACCATATATTTTTGGCTGGGATGTTTCACCATGATATTCTTCATTGACTGTAAATTAGGGGATTAACCTCTTAAACTCTATTATGATTTTTTCCACATTACACACTAGTTGGTAAAAAAGAAAGGAGCTGTGTGCTAACTCAAAAGGAACAAACACGTCAATGAAATATAATGATCCTTTTTATTTAATACATGTGCGAAACATACAAGCTATGTTCTGGGAAAAAAAAAATAATAATAATTGATAAAGAAAAAAAGAAGCAACAACTGAATATTAATGTCTTGGAAATGAAGTAATAAAGTCAGTGTTGTGCTCAAATTTTGTCATACCTTGTTCATCCATTTTAAATCTTGTTTTTTACTTTTTTTGCAACAATGGTGGCTTAAAGCACCGTTTAATCTACTATCGGACAAATGCAGTCCTCCAAGATGCGTAAAACCACATTCTTAAAGGTCATTCCTGCAACTACTCTAATTTTTTCCCAACAAAAATCAGCTTCATATATAGAAAACATACACCAACAACTAAACTTGAGAAACTGCCCATCCCCATTGTACAATACCTAATCAAGATTTGTCAAATGATCATTGACCACTTCATTCCCATATTCACCTGGTAATTGTCTTACAGAATCACTGTCAATTTTCTTTGTTGAGCTCCTCAGCTACCCCACCAATTTACCCAAATCTGTTTGGCCATATGTTGCATTCGCACTTACATTTCAAAGAAGTTCCCAAAGGAATAATCTGGCAATGCCAGGGCAGTTTGCCCCCGTAATTTGCTAAATTGGCTGGCATGTTACTAGTGAGTGAAAAAATTTGTGAGCAAACTTACAGATGACCTATGAAGGCGTACACACACCCTTTTCCTAAAAGTTCTATTAATACACACACATATATATATTTATCAATATGATTCGAACCTGAATTTGATCATTAGTTTTTAGTTGCACGGTGAGATACCATGGAAAAAAGTGTACACGACTTTTGATTCCTTAAACATTTACGCATCCCTTTGGGCCTCCTCTAGGACCGTACACATGGCCTTATATCAATGACCCATAGGGATTTGAATGTGTGGCAGCCATTCGGATTCTCTGTCCCTTGGCCAGAAATATGCTCACCAAAAACACACACATAAAGAAATAAAAAAATTTAAATTTCATCACTTCTTAGTCTTTATCGAAAGCTAGAAACAATAATTGTCCATACAAGGGGACATGACCTATGAATTTATTGTTTAAAGTCTGCTGATATATCGAAAGCTAGAAATTCCTATGGCAGAGTGGATCATTTCTTCAGCTCGGCAATCGATGCTCTAACATGACAAACAAAACTTGTGATCTGAACCAAAATGTCCCAGTTATATATGTTATTAATAACATGCTTAGTTAATTGTACAATAGAAGACATGTAACGTTGCTTGTTGTGGGAGTTATACATTCATTAATCTGGACACATTAGATTGATGCTTTTGTGAAGTTCCAGCTTGAGAGGGAATGAAAATGAAAATGGGGAAGGTTGAGATCACATCCAGAGAGTCCATCAAACCATCCTCCCCAACTCCCCAAACCCTCCGAAACTTCAAGCTCTCCCTACTAGATGCACCCAACAGAGATAGCAAAATCAAAACTATTGACACAACCAATCTACTAAAGAAATCTCTTTCTGAAACCTTAACTCGCTTCTACCCAGTAGCGGGAAGGATCAAAGATAACCTATTGATTGGGTGTAGCGACGAGGGGGCTGACTTTTTAGAAGCCAAAGTCAATTGTCCACTCTCAGAAGTTCTCAAACAACCTGAAGCAGATGTGCTGAACCATTTCCTTCCTCAGGACTACCATTGCTGTAAATCACACATGGAAGTCCTACTAGCCACTCAAGTCAATATCTTTAGCTGTGGGGGAATGGCAATTGGTGTGTGCATGTCTCACAAAATTTTTGATGGAAGCACAATTGGTCAATTTATCAATGGTTGGGCTGCTATGTCTCGTGGGCTAGGTGAAACCGTGTCACCCATTTTCCTGGGAGCATCTCTCTTCCCGCCAAGAGATTTATCAGGGTTATCACATAGCCTCAACTTACAAAATCCAAATGCATCACCAAAAGATTTGTGTTTGATGCGTCAAACATAGCTTTGCTAAGGGAGAAAGTAGCCAAGCATTCATGTGTTGATCGTCCAACCCGTTTGGAGGTAACATCGGCGCTAATTTGGAAGTGCGCCATGGAAGTGCAGAGAGCAAAGTCAGGGTCTTTTAGGCCAAGTTTTGCATCACAAACTGTGAATTTACACCCAAGGATGGTTCCACCTATGCCAGAACAGTCTGCTGGAAATCTTTGGTGGGCAATTTCAGTAACACCAACAACTGAGAAAGAGATATAGCTGCATGATTTGGTTTGTCAAATCAGAAATGAGATAAGGAAATTTGATACCAACTATGTGATGAAGATGCAAGGTGAAGAAGGCTCCTTGCTGGTTTTTGAGTCATTTGAAAAGAGATGTAAAATGTCACAATATAAAGACATGTATGCGATTAGTAGTTTACACCATTTCACGCTATATGAAGCTGATTTTGGGTGGGGAAAGCCTGTTTAGATAAGCTGTGCTGGTCTGGATATTAAAAATTTATTTATTTTGATGGATACACCACAGAGAGATGGAATTGAAGCTTGGGTGACATTGGATGAGCAAGACATGTCCATTTTTGAGTGTGACCATGAACTCCTCACATATGTTTCTTCTCAATCATGAGTGTTAGGTTTTCTGTTGAACTCTAATCTCTTCAAGTGTTGCTTAAATTTTAAAACATGGGTTTTGACTAGTGCCTTAGCTATATGAAGAAATGATTGAGCATATATGAAGTTCTAATCCTTGTTACTAGCAAAATTCAACCGGTATATATATATATATATTGGTAGGCAAGACACTGACACAACACACCACACTCATTATGAATCACAAAAAAGGACTTCAATACTCAACCTCCCTTTGAGAGGAGGAGGATATATTCTATATGATTGCTGCTCTTTATAAAGATAACCCCTTTTTGGCATCAAATAGTGATGTTTTTGGACTGAGCACCTCACATCAGCTTGGAGAAGCTATAATCAGTTGGTGCCACCATCACATTCACTGCAGCTAAACAGCAATGTCATGATACAATGTGTGAAAGACATAATGTCCTGAATTGCATAAAATCCTTTTGATAAATTTACGTAAATATTTGATTCCATTTGTTACAACTTCGACTTTAAACAGTGAAGTCCCCTGATTTTTCTTCTCTATTAACTCATGTATGGAGCACTTTCTGAAACCAAAAAGGGTTATCTTTATAACAATAGATTCATAGGTCATATCCCTTTGTATGGAAAATTATATTGGTGAGTCAAGTTGATTAAGTCATTTATTTTACTACTCCCAATATAAGTTTTATACTGAATATCTATAAAGTTGTTGGAGATTCCTACAGCAGAGTGTTTCCTTTCTTGACAAACAAAACTTGTGACCTGAACCAAAATGTCCCAGTTATATTATTAATAACATGCTTAGCTAGCCGTACAATTGAAGGCATTTAAAGTTGCTTATAGTGGGAGTTACACAGTTATCTGAAAACATTAGATTGATGGTTTTGTGAAATTTCGTCTTGAAAGCATAATGAAAATGGTTAAGGTTGAGATAATATCCACAGAGACCATCAAACCATCCTCCCCAACTCCCCAAACCCTCCGAAACTTCAAGCTCTCCCTTCTAGACCAGCTCTCTCCTTCACTATATGTCCCCCTTATTTTCTTCTATGCACCCAACAGAGATAGTGAAGTTAAAATTATGGATAGAATTGATCTACTTAAAAAATCTCTCTTTGAAACCTTAACACGATTCTACCCAGTAGCCGGAAGAATCAAAGACGACCTATTGATTGAGTGCAACGATGAGGGGGTTGACTTTTTAGTAGCCAAAGTCAATTGTCCACTCTCAGAAGTTCTCAATCTACCTGAAGTAGATTTTCTGAACCACTCCGTAACTCAGGACTACCACTGCAGTACATCACCCCTGAAAGTCCAACTAGCCACTAAAGTCAATATCTTTAGCTGTGGTGGAATGGCAACTGGTATGTGCATGTCTCACAAGATTTTTGATGGAAGCACAATTGGTTAATTCATCAATGGTTGGAGCGCTATGTCTCGTGGGCTAGGTGAAACTGTGTCACCCATTTTCTGGGGAACATCTCTCTTCCCTCCAAGAGATTTATTGGGGCTATCACTTAGCCTCAACATCCCAAAATGCAAGTGCATTACCAAAAGATTTGTGTTTGATGCATCAAACATAGCTTCGCTAAGGGAGAAAGTGGCGACACATTCATGTGTGGATCATCCAACCCGTGTTGAGGTAACGTCGGCGCTGATTTGGAAGTGTGCCATGGAAGTGCAGAGAGCAAAGTCAAGGTTTTTTAGGCTGTGTCGCAGCACAAACTGTGAATTTACACCTGAGGATGGTTCCGCCTATGCCAGAACAGTCTGCTGGAAATCTTTGGTGGACAATTGCTGTGGCACCAACAACAGAGAGGGAGAGAGCTGCATGATTTGGTTTGTGAAATCAGAAAGGAGAAAAGGAATTTTGGTGGCAACCATGTGATGAAAATGCAAGGCGAAGCAGGATCATTGCTGGTTTTTGAGTCATTTGAAAAGAGATGTAAAATGTCTCAATTTAAAGACTTTTATGCGTTTACTACTTTACATCATTTCCCGCTATATGAAGCTGATTTTGGGTGGGGAAAGCCTGTGTGGATAAGCGGTATAACTGATTGAGATATATGGGGAAAGCCTGTGTGGATAAGCGTTATAACTGATTGAGATATATATATATATATATATATATATATATATATATATATATATATATATATTTCTTTTTGGTAGGTTGACGCAGCGAGACATAACACACCACGCATTATGAATCACAAAAAAGGACTTGAATGCTCAACATCCCATTAGAAGGAGGAGGAGAAATTATTTATAATCTCTGCTCTTTTAATGAGAACAATTAGGTTGATAATATCATTAAGATATTCATAGATATGAAACTTTTTATCATTTTGCAATTCTTATAATCCTGCTACAGATTTTTCATTATGGTCTAAAGCCGACAGAAGAAGATTAGTTTTAGTGGGATTTACATTTATAGACCTACGGAAGGGTTAAGTCAGTTGTATTGTGGTCCTGTTTTTATTATATTAAGGACCAAAGAAATTAAAAGGAAAAAGGGGACAAAATGATAAATCTAAAAAATACAATTTAATAATTCGACCCCCTAGCTAGGAGCAAACTTGGAAAAGTACACTAGCTTAAATATTTACTGACATGGGAGATGCAGATACTATTGATCATCTCTGTTCTTCTTTTCCAAGCCCACATGCGATGGGCCTTTGTTGCATTGGGCCAGTCTGGCCTTTGCCTAGTTTGGGCTCCGCCTCTCTTGCTCGGGTTGGTTCGCACTTGGTCTAGGCCAGTCATGTGGCACGTGGCGCCTGTGGAGGGTTCAACTCTCCTCTCAGTTAAGTTCGTACACTGTCATGTCTGTGATCTCTGTAATTTTTTTTTATTTTTACATACAATGTGTTCTTATCTTGGCACGAAAGTCAATACATCCTTTTTATACTGTGTGTTAAAGACATTATGTCCTGAATTGCATATATACCTTTTGATATATTTACATGACTCCTTTCATTACAACCTCTACTTTATTAAACACTGAAGTTACACTCTGCTTTGCTTTGCTTCCCCATCTCCCAGGGCTTTTGCACGCTCTGTGCACGCTTCCTCATTTCTAGGGGACAGATGTTGTCCGCTTTGTACACTTTCCATGCTCAGAGTTTTTAAAATGTGTCTAAACAGTTAGAAGACATCCACACATATAAGTGCCAACAACTTTTCACTCTAGGTGACTTGGAATGTCACAAGCTTAAAACACATCAAGAAGTCTTTATTTTTTTGAAAATTAGAAAAAATATAACAGTAAATGCCCGTATTAAAATTTTCAAGTATATGCTCATTATACACCTTTTGTGATAGTCCCAATAAGCCTTGAGACCCATCCAGATGAATTTCAATGCCAAGAAGAAATGATGCAGCCAAATAGGAACCACATGATAAACACAAATAATATGGTTTGAAGCCATGATAGCATAATTAGAATCTTGGGAAACCAAACTGTAATTTTTACGATTACGCAATGAACAACCATGAACATGTGACTATTTTAATTTATATATTACAAGTCAATTTTTGCAGAAATTAAAATATAATCATATATATCAATTAGACTATAAGCCACATGATACACACATATAATTATTAATTATAGTGATTAGTCAAGTTGATTAAGTTAAAAATTTTCTACTCCCAATTTAAGTTTTATATTCATTATCTATAAAGTTGTTGGAGATTTATATAGCAGAGTGATTCCTTTCTTCAGGTCAACAGTAGGTATGCTCTAATATGATCAAAGACGACCTATTGATCGAGTGTAACGATGAGGGAGTTGAATTTTTAGAAGCCAAAGTCAATTGTCCACTCTCAGAAGTTCTTAAACAACCTGAGGTAGATTTGATGAACCATTTCCTTCCTCAGGACTACCATTGCAACAAATCACACATGAAAGTCCTATTTGCCACTCAAGTCAATATCTTTGGCTGCGGTGGAATGGCAATTGGTGTGTGCATCTCACAAGAGTTTTTGATTGAAGCACAATATATTGGTCAATTCATCAATGGTGGGAGCGCTATGTCTCGCGGGATAGGTGAAACCGTGTCACCCATTTTCCTGGGAGCATCTCTCTTCCCGCCAAGAGATTTATCGGGGTTATCAGTTAGCCCCAACATTGCAAAATGCAAATGCATTACCAAAATATTTTTGTTTGATGCATCAAGCATAGCTTTGCTAAGGGCGAAAGTGGCCATGCATTCATGTGTGGATCATCCAACTCGTGTTGAGGTAACATCAGCACTTATCTGGAAATGCACCATGGAACTGCAGAGAGCAAAGTTGGGGTTTTTGAGTCCATCTGTTGCAACAAGTGTGAATTTATGCCCCAGGATGGTTCCACTTATGCCAGAACAGTCTGCTGGAAATCTTTGGTGGGCAATTGCAGTGGCACCAAGGGCAGAGAATGAGATAGAGTTGCATGATTTGGTTTGTCAAATCAGAAACTAGAAAATGAAATTTGATGGCAACTATATGTGTTGAAGATGCAAGGTGAAGGAGTGTCATTAATGTTATCAGAGTCATTTGAAAAGAGATGTGAAATGTGGCAATTTAAAGATTTTTACTGGTTTACTAGTTTACACCATTTCCCACTATATGAAGCTGATTTTGGATGGGGAAAGCCTGTTTGGATGAGCAGTGCTGGTCATGGTTTTAAGAATATAATTCTTTTTGATGGATACACCACAGAGAGATGGAATTGAAGGTTTGGGTGACATTGGATGAGCAAGACATGCCCATTTTTTAGTGTGATCATGATCTGCTCACATATGTTTCCTCTCAATCATGAGTGGTAGTTTTTTCTGTTGAACTCTAATCTCTTTTTAAGTGCTATTTAAAATTTTGTAACTTGGGTTATGCCTTGTCTCTAGAAAAATATGCAGAAATAATTAAGCATATACGACGTTCCAATCCTTTTTCTAGTACAATTCTCTTTGAGCACTATAATTGTTATATATATGTAGCTTGCGTGACCTCCTTTTCCTGAACTGAATAATATGTAGCCAATCGTTTAAACAATGCCTGAACTGAATAGAGATCTCGTTGAACCATTTTGGTATTTTGGAACCTTTTATTGGATCTTTTGTGAAAAGCTTATATTTTTTGGTTCTGTCAGTTTGCTTGTGACTTATGGTATTTTCGTCTGTGGGCAATTCTTGGTTTGATTGGATATATAAAGTTTTCTGATCTTGACTGAAATTGGTTGTGCCCTTCTTGTGGATGAAATTTAAATGTAACAACTGCACATTGCAAATTTAGTAATAAAAAGCATTGAATAATCTAGAGCTTGATCTTTTTTATTTGTTACTAGAAGAAATGTTTTAAAGTAATTATTTCTAAACATGTTAGTAATAATAAGTGTTCTCAGATTACAATGGTTATTAGATCCCTAAACAAATTCGATTATTTGGCTGCCTTAGTTAAATCATGATCAATTATTATTGGTTATTCGCTTTGTTTAAGATAACATAGATGTTAGACTGTTTAGTTGTGTCATTTGGAAGTGAAATCAAAGAACAATGAAAAACCATTAATCTGCTTCTTTGCCATGCAGAAGAAATATTTTGCTGTAATTGAGAGGTGTGCAGGAAGGTGTTTGGCATGGGTATAGGTTTTTTTTTTTTTTTTTTTCCCTAGTTGGTACTCACATACACGTGTCTCTTCTGAGACTTGAAGTCCTGACCTCCCTTTGGGAAGTAAGAGGCTGATACCGCTAGGCCACTGGCCGTTGGTGAGTATAGCTAAGTTGGTGTGAGTTTTTGAAAAGGAATTAGCTTGAGTTCTTAGGTTGGACTCTACACTTATCACTTCTAACGTAAGCTTCGAATTTCCCAAGATTACAGACTAGCTTTATGGAGTTTGTTGGTCACCTGGTGCATATGAGAGAATTAGTTTCATTTCCACAATAAACTGCTAAGTCTAATCTTTTCCATCCCTTCCATACAAAGTGTCAAAAATGCAATCTGCTAAGTCTCTCTTTGTCTATTTATCTGTTAAAACTTTAAGCTTAGAGAAACCTTTTCCTTTCTTGTTATATTAGAGTTTATACACAAATGTGGGAGCCACATAAGCAATGACATGGACTACTAACAGCCTGTCACGTGGGCTATGATGTGAGCTAACATGGAGGTGACATGTGGCCCGATGACATGGCGGATCAGAAAGAGGCCATTAAGCTGGAATATTATGACATGATTAGTAACATGCTTAGCTAATTTAATGGAGGAATCAGTGGAAGAAAATCTTCAATAAAAACACATGTAAGTTGGAGTTATTGTAATGTCTGTGTCTAATATATATACATGTGTGTGCATATGTGTATATATTTGTGTGTGTGTGTAGTTTAAAATGAAAAGAAAAAGGAAAATAAAAAGGAAAGTGGGTGGGACCCACAAGCTATTTAGATTAGTGGCATTGGGCTGATTTCATTTCTGCATTCTCTCACGTTCGGCTCTCTCTCTCGCTCACTGGTTTTTTTTTCTTTTTCTTTTCCACATCAAATTCAAGGCTTGATTTCTCCATCATTTCTTGGTAGATTTGAGAGCCGTTTGAGGCAAAACAAAGCCCACGACGAGCTTTACGCGCTAGTGTAAGCAATTTCAGATTTGGTGCTTCCTAGGGAGTTCGAAATTAGAGACCCATTTCAAGGGTTTTGTACAATCTTAAGGTAGGGGGTCTTAATCCACAATTTTCGTGCTCCTATGTGAATTACATCTTCTAAATTGTTGCAGGACATGCTTATTTGTGCTAGTTGTAGTTTAGAAGTAGTTCGAACATGTGTATGTGGTTATGTGAGAGCTTGTATTAAATGTTTTATGTGAAAAACTTGCCTATGTGATGATTTATATATGTTCGTTAGGCTAGATGTATTGTTGTATAAGAGTATGTTGAAATTCCTTGAGAAATTCTCGTGAAATTATGCCTTGCTTACTTAAATTGAGTTAGTTGTGGAATAATGAGTATATTCATGGTACTGATGCACTTACATTGGGCATGAAATGGGAGAAATTGTTTTGGAACAAAAAGGGAAATTTTGGGAAAAGAGTTTTTACGAAATGGTTTAATGAAAACCCGGTCGCCGCGGGGGTACCAAAGGGCCGGAGTGTTAATATAGCCTAGAGGGGACTAGGAAGTCGCCCTAGCATGGTTGAGCTATCTAGGCCCCTCGATGACGCTGCGGGGTTACCAAAGGTCTAGGGACAGTAGCTAATCCTCCTCTCGTGCCGCTGCGGGGTCACCAAAGGGCGGATTGTATTAACAGTTTGAAAGTGATGGTTTGAAATGTGAAAATGGGGAGCGACATCGGCATGCATTTGCATTCCATGGCATTGTATTGTTTGCACTTGAGTTTGGTTGAAATGTTGTATTATCCCGACATTGTATGATCCCTATTCCTATTGATCTATTCTTTGTATGGATTCACAAGGACACAAGATGCGTGTCTTAAGTGCTACCTACTGAGCTTTATGCTCACCTTATTATTTAATAATTTTTTTCAGGAAACGGGAAAGAAGTGGCGGATGACTTTCCACCACAGGCCTAATTTGGATTAGAAGACTTCTTTTTGCTATTTTTGTATTAAGTCCCATATTTTTGTAAAATTTTAATTTGTTATATTTGGTATAGAGGTTTGTGGACTCTTGTTATTATAATTATACCAATGGGCTGTAACTGTTGTATGAGCTGTCTAAATGTTGTAAAATATGGACATTTGATATTAATCTTGTATTTTGGGACTGTAATTATGATATTCGGATGACATAGTATGTGGTTGTACCACTATGGAATGAACTAAGTTAAGGCATGGTGAATGGATGAAAGGGATGTTGGAATGTATTATATGTTTATTGTGCTGGGACAGGTTAAAAATGCATTTAAACAGGTTGTGGTAAGCCCATTTTTTAAGGGAGGTCATGCCAATTTTTTTTTTATAAATGGTATCAGTTTAGGGTCGTTACAGTTATACATGTGGATACATGTGGATGGACGCGTTAGATTGATGCTTTTGTGAAATTCCGTCTTGAGGGAAAATTGAAAATGGTGAAGGTTGAGATAAAATCCATATGACCATCAAACCATCTTCCCCAACTCTCCAAATCCTCCGGAACTTCAAGCCCTACGTTCTAGATCAACTCTATACTTCAGTATGTGTCCCCCTTATTTTCTTCTATGCACCCAACAGAGAGAGCAAAATCAAAACTATTGACATAATCAATCTACTAAAGAAATCTCTCTGAATACCATTTATTTTTGGTTGAGATGTTTTACCATGATATTCTTCATTCATTGTAAATTAGGGGATGAACCTTTTAAAAGTTAAGAACTCTAGTATGCTTCTTGCCACATGACACACTCGTTGGCAAAGAGAGAGGAGCTGTGTGCTAACTCAAAAAAGGGAACAAACACATCAATGAAATATAAGAATTTTTTTTATTTAATACATGTGAGAGACATACAAGCTATGTTCTGGTAAAAAGAAAAAGAATGATGCAACAACTGAATGTTAGTGTCTTGGAAAATTTAGTCCTATCTTGTTCATTTATATTTAATCCTGTTTCTACTTTTTTTGTTGATGATGGTGGTGTCGAGTACCATAAAGCACCCGCACAGTCCCACTGGGCAAAATCAGCTTCATATACTGGAAACCTACACCAACAACTAAACCTGAGAAACTGTCCTTCCCCTTTGTGCAATACCTAATCTAAGATTTTTCAAATGACCATTGACCACTTCATTCCCATATTCAACTTGTAATTGTCATACATAATCTGTTTGGCCATAATTTTCATGCAAGCAATTTGGCTGGCATATGCATGTTACTAGTGAATGAAGAGAATTGTGAGCAAGCCTACAGATGACCTATGAAGGAACACACACACCCTTTTCCTAAAAAATCTATATATATATATATATATATATACACACATATATATATATACATAAACATATTTATCAATAGGATTCGATTTGATCACCAATTTTAGTTGCACAGTAAGATACCAAGGAAAAAATTGTATGAGAATCTTGATTCCTTAAACACTTAGCTATTCTGGCATCCTCTAGGACCAATTTTAGTACACATGGCCTAGGATCAATGAGCCATAGGAATTTGAATGTGTTGCAGCCATTAAGATTCTCTATCCCTTGGCCACAAAAAAACAGAAGGAAAATGCTCACCAAAAACACACACACAAAGAACCAAAAAAAATAAAATAAAAATAAAAATAAAATAAAAAAATCATCAATGCTTAGACATTATCGAAAGCTTGACACAATAATTGTCCATACATGGGGACATGACCTATGAATTTTTTGTTAAAAGTCGGCTGAGCTATCGAAATCTAGAAGCAAAAATTGTCCATACAGGGGGCCAATAATTAGTTCGATTTGATATTATTTTAAGCTGTTGGAGATTCCTACAGCAGAGTGAATCCTTTCTTCAGGCGGCAATAGATACTCTACTATGACAGAACTTGTGATCTGAATCAAAATGTCCCAGTTATATTATTAATAACATGCTTAGCAAATTGCATAATAAAAGACATGTAACGTTGCTCGTTGTGGGAGATATATATTCGTTTATGTGAACACATTAGATTGATGCTTGTGTGAAATTCCATCTCGAGGGAAAAATGAAAATGATGAAAGTTGAGATCACATCCACAGAGACCATTAAACCATCCTCCCCAACTCCCCAAACCCTCCAAAACTTCAAGCTTTCCCTTCTAGATCAACTCTCTCCTTCACTATATGTCCCCCTTATTTTCTTCTATGCACCCAACAAAGATTGTGAAGTCAAAATTATGGACAGAATTAATGTACTTAAAAAATCCCTTTCAGAAACCTTAACTCGATTCTACCCAGTCGCCGGAAGGACCAAAGACAACCTATTGATCGAGTGTAACGATGAGGGAGTTGACTTTTTAGAAGCCAAAGTCAATTGTCCACTCTTTGAAGTTCTCAAACAACCTGAAGCAGATGTGCTGAACCATTTCCTTCCTCAGGACTACCATTTTAGTACAACACACATGAAAGTCCAACTAGCCACTCAAGTTAATATCTTTAGCTGTGGGGGAATGGCAATTGGTGTGTGCATGTCTCACAAGATTTTTGATGGAAACACAATTGGTCAATTCATCAATGGTTGGGGTGCAATGTCTTGTGGGCTAGGTGAAACTGTGTCACCCATTTTCCAAGGAGCATCTCTCTTCCCACCAAGAGATTTATCGGGGTTATCATGTAAGCTCAACATCCCATTTTGCAAGTGCATTACCAAAAGATTTGTGTTTGATGCATCAAACATAGCTTTGCTAAGGGCGAAAGTAACCAAGTATTCATGTGTGGATCATCCGACCCGTTTTGAGGTAACATCGGCTCTAATTTGGAAGTGTGCCATGGAAGTCCAGAGAGCACAGTCAAAGTCTTTTTGGCCATGTGTTGCAGCACAAATTGTGAATTTACGCCCAAGGATGGTTCCACCTATTCCAGAACAGTGTGCTGGAAATCTTTGGTGGGCAATTGTAGTGGCACCAACAACAGAGAGTGAGATAGAGCTGCATGATTTGGTTTGCCAAATCCGAAATGAGAAAAGGAAATTTGATGGGAACTATGTGATGAAGATGCAAGGTGAAGAAGGCTCTTTGTTGGTTTTTGAGTCATTTGAAAAGAGATGTGAACTGTCACAGTATAAAGACTTTTACAGGTTTACTAGTTTACACCATTTCCCGCTATATGAAGCTGATTTTGGGTGGGGAAAGCCTGTGTGGATAAGCAGTGCAGGTGGGAATTTTAAGAATTTCATTGTTTTGATGGATACGCCACAGAGAAAAGGAATTGAAGCTTGGGTGACATTGGATGAGAAAGACATGCCTTTTTTTGAGTGTGATCATGAACTGCTCACATATATTTCCTCTCAATCATGAGTGGTACATAGTTTTTTCTGTTGAACTCTTAATCTCTTGTAAGTGCTGCTCAAGTTTTGAAACTTGGGTTGTGCCTTAGTTCTAGAAATATATGATAATAATTGAGCATGTATGAAAGTTCCAATCCTTGTTACTATCTAAATTCTCTTTGACTACTATATTTCAGTTTTAGAATATATCATTGAATAGCTGATTCATTAGTCAGGATCTCATATGGATGCTTCAAACTGGTTTGCAATTGATAATACATACTGCGCCCCCCAAATTTTTTTTAAAAAAAAAAACCTTTTTTATGTATTTTTTTCTGAAATTTCACAAATCCCCACCCCCTCCGCCCCTCTCCCCAAGTATTTTTTTATTTTTATTTTTGTAAGCATTTATCTCATTTTATACTACTCCTTGATTAGAATATTGTTTTGGTTGAGAAATGTAACTTAACATAACAACTTTAGTAGAGAACTTGGTATATTAGCAAACTAGAACTTGCAACTTTAGTCTTGTTGCTTGACATGAATAAGCAATAGGACACATTGATTTACCACTTCTGAAAATTCTTCTGAAATACTTGTTGTGGGGTATTATTATTGGTGCAAAATACTTCTTATATAGTTGCTGTGAGATAGTATTATTGATGCCATGATTGGTGCTTTAATTGAAGTTACAGTAAGTGGGATTTTTGCGTGTCAATTACATATGGTGCCTTAGATTAATATGCTGATGGATTGTGATCAATTATACATGCAATAAAAGGAATTAGTACATTGAGATTGAAAAAATAGTGATTTCGCTATGATTTTTTTTTTTCTTCTCCTGTCTGCCTTTTGATGTGAAAAATCTATATTTTTCATGTTAGTTGATGTTTTTTTCCCATCAAATACACTGCACCCCTGAAATGAAATCCTGGCTACGCTTCTGCATACTTGGCACGTGCTGCGTCTCATATTCAGAGGCAAATGAAAGCTAAAGTACTCAACAACTCTTGTTCTCCCCTTTAAGAATTATTCAAGCCATCTGCAATTCTATTAGAGTTCGCCTCGTGTCTGATAGATGCAGCAAAATTCCACTTGCATTGGAAACTGCTAAATGTTTGGACCTTCCAAACTCTTTGTTCTTTTTTTTTTTTTTTCCCCTGTAACAACATTTTCCACTCCTTTGACTGTTAATCATTGGCTTCTTTCATGGTTCTTCTTTGCCCTGTGTGATTTGATCATCTCCTCTGATTAAGGTTGGTTTATCTTTAATCTGCTCTGGTGATTTCATAATCTAGTTGTGAGCTTGGCCTTTGGTTTGGCTTGTTCAGGTTGACACCACTTTGTTGGTTTTTTTTTTTTCCTTTCTTGCTCCTTTGGGCTTCTAGCCATAATTGTTTTTGTGCCACAAGGTATACCCTTTGTAAAATTGTATAGTTTTTCCTTTTTTATATTTATACTTAAATTAGCAAAAATAAATAAACAAAGAAAATTGTGTCCTTACCCATTACTCCAATCAAATCTTCCTCAAAAGGAATACAAAAAGGATGGCTGATTATCATGTTTGTGTTATGTACACATGGATTGTGTTATTTCTGAAGCACATTCTGAAATCAGCCCACATATAATAACTTGTTCTGGTTATCATAATGACACCAAAGTCATAAAACTCATGTTTATCTCAAGTTAAGCTCTTCTCAGTCTCCCTCTGATAATCTGGAGTGTCCTCTCCAATTTGGCCTGTGATCGTGAACTGCTTACGTATGTTTCATCTCAATCATGAGTGGTAGTTCTTCTCTATTTTGATCAGTAAGACACAGACTTGAGTGCTCAATCTCCCATTTGAAGGAGGAGGAGTTATTGTCTATGATTGCCGCTCTTTAATGAGGACAATCAGATAGATAAATATCATTAAGATATTCATAGATATGAAACTTTTTATCATTTTGCAATTCTTAGAATCCTGCTAGAGATTTTTCATTATGCTGTAAAGTCAATAGAAGTAAGATTAATTTCCAATACTAGTTCATTTTTTTCAAGTCAAATCTGGAAAAGACAAATGCCAAATCATACAGAAACTCATCTTTATCTTCAATATAAGCTCCTCCCAATCAAGTTCTCCCTCTAATAATCGCGTGTGTCCTCTCCAATTTGGCCTGTGTATAAAAGAGGAAGATGGAAACCAACCTCTAGGAACCAAATTAGTGACACTTCCTTTTAAAACATTATCCACAAACCATTGAGGGTGGGTGATGTTACTTTCTTTTATACTAGAAAATGCGTGTAATGTCTATTGTGTTTATATGTATGGGTGAAAGTAGTGAACTATTATAATCACAAGTTAGTTATGTGGAATATTACTGAAGGGTCATGTGCTGAGGCCTTTATTGGCATCATAGTGAAGTTGAGCTAAACAGCAATGTCATGACTGTAAAGTTTGTACAGTGCCATGTGTTTGCTCTAATACAATAAACAAAACTTGTGATCTGAACCAAAAAATGTCCCACTTATATTATTAAGTAACATGCTTAGCTAAACCTGCAATAAAAGACATTTAAAGTTGCTTATAGTGGGAGCTATATGTGTATTTATCTGACACATTATATAGATTGATGCTTTTGTGAAGTTCCGTCTTGAGAGCAAAATGAAAATGGTGAAGGTTGAGATCATATCCAGGGAGTCCATCAAACCATCGTCCCCAACTCCCCAAACCCTCAGAAACTTGAAGCTTTCCCTTCTAGATCAGCTCTCTCCTTCACTATATGTCTCCCTTATTTTCTTCTATGCACCCAACAGAATTAACTCGATTCTACCCAGTAGTCGGAAGGACAGAATTAATCTACTTAAAAAATCCCTCTCTGAAACCTTAACTTGATTCTACCCAGTAGCTGGAAGGATCAAAGACGAGCTATTGATCGAGTGTAACGATGAGGGGGTTGACTTTTTAGAAGCCAAAGTCAGCTGTCTACTCTCAGAAGTAGTCAAACAACCTGAAGTAGATGTGCTGAACCATTTTCTTCCTCAGGACTACCATTGCAGTACATCACACATGAAAGTTCAATTTGCCACTCAAGTCAATATCTTTAGCTGTGGGTGAATGGCAATTGGTGTGTGCATGTCTCACAAAATTTTTGATGGAAGCACAATTGGTCAGTTCATTAATAGTTGGGGTGCTATGTCTTGCAGGCTAGGTGAAACAGTGTCACCCATTTCCCTGGAGCATCTCACTTCCTGCCAAGAGATTTATCGGGGTCATTACAGAGCCCCAACATCCCAAAATCCAAGCGCATTACCAAAAGATTTGTGTTTGATGCATCAAGCATAGCTTTGCTAAGGGCTAAAGTAGCGACGCATTCATGTGTGGATCATCCCACCCGCATTGAGGTAACATTGGAGCTAATTTGAAAGTGCGCCATGAAAGTGCAGAGAGCTAAGTTGGGGTTTTTTGAGTCCATCTGTTGCAGCACAAGCTGTGAATTTACGCCCGAGGATGGTTCCACCCTTGCCAGAACAGTCTGCTGGGAATTTTGTGTTTGTTGCAAATGCAGTGGCATCAGCAGCAGAGAGTGAGATAGAGCTGCATGATTTGGTTGGGCAGATCAGAAATGAGGTAAGGAAATTTGATGGGAACAATGTGATGAAGATGCATGGTGTGGAAGGCTCATTACTGTTTTATGAGTCCTAGAAACAAATAGGTGAACCGTACTCAAAATATGAAGACATTTACAGGTTTACTACTTTACACCATTTCCCATTATATGAAGCTGATTTTGGGTGGGGAAAGCCTGTTTGGATAAGCAGTGCTGGTATGGACTTCAAGAATATGGTTTTTTTGATGGATACACCACAGAAAGATGGAATTGAAGCTTGGGTGACACTGGATGAGCAAGACAAGCCCATTTTCGAGCGTTATGAAGAACTTCTCACATATGTTTCTGCTCAACCATGAATGGTAATTTAACTGTTGAAATCTATACCCGTATAAGTGCTTGAAATGAATTGATAATTGGGCATGTATGAAGTTTCTATCCTTATTACATGGATTAGCACCAGTATATCTTTTCCTGAACTGGAATAGGATTAAGTATCAAGTACTTTGTTTGAATTATATTTATTCAAAAGCACATTATCAAATCTGCCCACATAGAAACTATTCAGCATGTATCTAATGAAGTAATGCTTCATGTCATCACACTAATACAATGCAGCAGCACAACCCCTAGATAACATGTTAATATTGCTTCTCCTAGATGTCCTATTAGATACAGCTTTATGTCATGATGTGCAGCATTAATATTGCATCTGATAGGAAAGAAACATGAGAGAAGAGAAGGAAAGATTTCTAAAATCTCTCATTTTCTCTTGTTTGTTTTGCTCAAGAGAAGAGAAGAGAAGTGGAGATAATTTTCCAGAAATTTACCCTCTTGGCCACAAACATCTAGGGACATTTTCTTCTAATTTTCTCTCCACTTCTCTGCCTACATGAACAGAGGAATCTCTCATTTTTCTATTTTCTCTACTTTTTGAGAGAGAATAGTCTACTTCTAGTTCTGAATCTTGATGTGGACTGGTTTGCTAGTTAACTTGAAAGTCCAAACAAAAAACACAGTCACTATATATTTTTGCCACCACCGGGACTTGAACACATAACCTCCTCAAAGGGGGAGGAGAGCTTATACCATCTATGCTAGATCCTATTGTTCCCATTTTCATATTACCTAAAGGAGACTATACCAAAAATTTTAGATAAGCCATCCAAGTTTACTAATTCCTAGAATATAGAGTTCAAGGTTGACAAATTTACCTCTGATGAACTTCTTGGGATTAAAATTCATAATGTTAGTGAAGAACAGAAGAGAGGAGGGATGGATAAACCTTCTCATGTTTGGCAAGCAGGAAGGGAAGAGGGGAGGAAGCATGGAGGGAAGAAGCCTCCTTGCTTTGAGATCTTTTGACCTGTCCCCCTAAGCAAGGAAAATGTCAATTCATTTTCCTTAAAAGAAAGGAGATCATTGCCGTACAACTATCGCC